ATGAAAACAATTCCATTTACAATACCTCAAACAAATCAAATACCTAGGTGTAAACCTAACAAAAGATGTGAAAGACCTCTACAAGGAAAACTATAAACTTCTGAAAGAAAAGAGATTGAGGAAGACTAATTTTTGCTGTGAAGGAAACTGGTTTCCAAATCAACATAGAAAAATCATTAGCATTTCTATAACACTAACAATGAGCAAACTGAAAAGAATGTATGAAAACAATTCCATTTACAATAGCCTCAAAAAAAATCAAATACCTAGGTGTAAACCTAACAAAGATGTGAATGACCTCTACAAGGAAAACTATAAACTTCTGAAGAAAGAGATTGAGGAAGAGCTAATTTTTGCTGTGAGGACTGGTTTTCCCCTGTTTTTTTGTTCTTCCCATCAGTCCTTGGTATTGTTACTGTCCCTGTGAGAAAGCAGACAAAGTATCAGACAAGAGAGTTTCAAAGGTATAAAACAGGAGTGTAGTGTACTAATATACAGTAAGCTGAACAGACATTAGAGAGACAGAGAGAGGATTGAAAATCAAAGATAAAAAAAATAAAAAATAAGTAATGAAAGAAATAATCTATATATAAAAATGAATTAAATAAAATGGAAAATAGAAAATTAAAAAAAAAAAAAAATTCCAAGTTTATATGCAATGCAGTTTCATCTTAATAATTTGGGTGTCCGTCTAATCTCCAGTCCTGGAGTTGGTGCCTCAGATGTTGTTCTGTAGTTGTCTCATCAAAGGGGATGCATAAAGTAAGAACAAAACTATTCACAGTCCACACCACACACACACAAACACACACACACACACAAAAGCCCCACCAAGTGTCCCCAGTTTCAAATGCAATACAGTTTCAGTAAGTTTTTCGGCTTGCAGGTGTAATTCGGTTGTTCTCTCTCAAAGGTAGGCGAGAAAAGAAAAAAAAGCGTCTGGAGGCAGTTCTGAGAGTGGTATCTGCAACTGTGGCTTGCCTGCCTGCTGCTCTCAGCCTGTAGCTGGCGGCGTTATTTATGCAGACTGGGGTGAAACTAGCACTCACCTGGTCCCACAGGCTTTGTTTGCTCAGAGTTTCCTGTGCGGGAGCCTCTGCTACAGCTTTCCCCTTTCCAAGCACTGGGAAAGGTGACACTGCCCCCGTTGTCAGGCGTGCGTGTTTATCACTACGGTTCATGTGGAGAAGGGTGGGTCTTCCCCCTCTCCTCCTGAAGTTCTTCCTCCCCTGCCACTTTCGAAGCTTTCCTGCTCCTGCTTACTGGGGTGTTGCTGCTGCTCCTGCCGGCAGCTCGTGTTATTTACAGGCAACGTGGGAGGGTGGGCCTTCCTTCCTCTCCTGTGGACTTTTCTCCTCCTCCACTCTCACAGCGATCCCGCTCCTGGTTGCTGGGGCGCCGCACCCGCTCCGCCAGAGGCCTCTCCAGCCGCCCGGCTTGTTTATTTACAGTCCCGGGAAGGGTTCCCTTCCCCCAATCTTCAGCGCTCAGGGCGCCCCCACCCTCTTTCCTGTGTGTCTTAACTGTTCTTATTGCTTATTACTCAGTTTCTCTTTTTTTCCTGGGGTGGAGTCAGTCTGTCCAGGGGGCTATGCTGCTCTGGCCCAGGCTTGTCTGTGGGGGTACTGCAGTACCGTGAAGCTCACCTGGTCCACGTCTTCCCAAGCCCGTAATCGGGTGCCGGCCATGCGCCCCGGGGGCCCTCCTCGTTTCTCCATTTAAGTGAAGTGGAGATTCTCTGCACCGGCTGGAGATGTGGAGGGGTCAAAGTTATGCCTTTTCTTCAGTGATTTATGCCTGCAAAGTGGGTCCTCGACAGCGTCTGCTCCAAGATTTCACCTATAGGAGAAGTCCGCTTTCCTGCTTCCTCCCTGCCTACGCCGCCATCTTGAATCCCCTGAGGAAGACATATAGAAAAGTCGAGAATCTCCCATGCTCATGGATTTGTAGAATTCAACATAGTAAAAACTGTCTAACTCCCAAAATAATTCACATGTTTAATGCAATTCCCATCAAAATTCCAATACATTCATAAAGAGATTGAAAAAAATCTACCATTAAATTTATATGGAAACACAAGAGGCCACGAATAGCCAAGGCAATACTCAGTCAAAAAACAATTACTGGAGGTATATACCGATACCCACTTCAAACTATATTACAAAGCAATAACAATAAAAACAGCATGGTACTGGCACAAAAACAGACATGAAGACCAGTGGAACAGAATAGAGGACCCAGATATGAAGCCACACAACTATAACAACTTGTCTTTGACAAAGGAGCTAAAAATTATCATGGAGAAAAGCAGCCTCTTCAACAAAAACTGCTGGAAAACTGTTAGCAGTCTGCAAAAAACTGAAACTAGATCCATGTATATCACCTATACCAAGATTAACTCAAAATGGATCAAGGATCTTAATATCAGACCCCAAACTCTAAAGTTGATACAGGAAAGAGTAGGAAATACTCTGGAGTTAGTAGGTATAGGTAAGAACTTTCTCAATGAAACCCCACAGCACAGCAACTAAGAGATAGCATAGATAAATGGACCTCATAACTAAAAAGCTTCTGTTCATCAAAAGAAATGGTCTCTAAACTGAAGAGAACACCCACAGAGTGGAGAAAATATTTGCCAGCTGCACATCAGACAAAGGACTGATAAACCAGAATTATAGGGAACTTAAAAAACTAAATTCTCCAAAACTAATGAACCAATAAAGAAATGGGTAAGTGAACTAAACAGAACTTTCTCAAAAGAAGAAATCAAAATGGCCAAAAAACACATGAAAAAATTGCTCACCATCTCTAGCATAAAGGAAATGCAAATTAAAACCACACTAAGATTCCACCTCACCCCTGTGAATAGCCATCATAGCACAACCACCAAAGGTTGTGGTGAGATGCAGGGAAAAAGGAACCCCTCTGACACGTTGGTGGGAATGTAAACTAGTACAACCACTCTGAAAAACAAATTGGGCTACTTAAAAAACTAAACATTGATCTACCATTTGATCCAGCAAATACCACTCTTGGGATTTACCCAAGAAGACACTGTTACTTCCAGAGGCACCTGCACACCCATGTTATTGCAGCATAGCACAAACCAAGTTATGGAAACAGCAAGATGCCTCACTACTGATGAATGGATCAAGAAAATTGGGTATCCTATACACAATTGGAATTTTATGCAGCCTGAAGAAGAACGAAATGTTATCATTCACTGGTAAATGGATGGAATTGGAGAACACATTTCTGAGTGAGGTTCGCAGGCCCCAAAAGACCAAAAATCGTTATGTTCTCCCTCATATGTGGACATTAGATCAAGGGCAAACACAACAAGGGGATTGGACTTGAGCACATGAATAAAGCAAGAGCACACAAGGAGGGGTGAGGATAGGTAAGACACCTAAAAATTAGCTAGCATTTGTTGCCCTTAACAAGCAGAGAAACTAAAGCAGATACCGTTAAAAAGCAACTGAGGCCAATAGGGAAGGGGACCAGGAATAGAGAAAAGTTTAGATCAAGAAGAATTAAACCTAGAAGGTAACACACATGCACAGGAAAATTAATGTGATTCAACTCCCTGTATACTGCTATCCTTATCTCAACTAAAAGAAACCCCTTTGTTCTTCCTATTAATTGCTTATACTCTCTCTTCAACAAATTAGAGATAAGGGCAAAATATTTCTGCCGAGGTATTGAGGGGGTGGGGGGGAGAGAAGGGGGAGTGGGTGGGAAGGGAGGGGTGGGGGCAGAAGGGAAGACATGACCAAAAGGCGTTGTAATGCACAATATGAATAATAAAGAAAAGAGGCAGCATGAGTTCTAGAAATTTAAAGGCTGGAAGCTAGATCAAAACCTGAGATGTCATGGAGCTCTATAGTGATTAGAGGTGAAAAACCATGCAGATAAAGAAGGGAAGGGGCTGTGCAGTGCCACATGCCAGAGGGGATTCTGGGGTTATGGTTTCTAGTTTCTAGTAGGACAGTCAAGGAAGGCTTTGTTGAAAATGTAATGTGTTAGCAAAGACTTAAAGGAAATAAGAGAGCAAATCAAGCAGGAACTTGGGAGAGAACAACGGGCCAAGAAGAAGGAGTAAAAAAGAGCAGGAACTCAGAGAAGAGAAGATGCCTGGTGTGTCCAGAGAGTAACCAGAATCTCTGTATTGTGGAAGGTCATGAGTGAGCAAAGGAAAGCAGATGAGCTCAGAGGGCAGGGGAAGGGATGTACACTTACCAGCTTTTGGGCTCATTTACCTTTGTAAAGACTTCAGCTGAGTCTAAATTGGGGGGTAGACTGTGGCAGGGCTTTAAGCACCGTAAGGAAATGACCCGACTTTATGTTCTTTGTGTGTGTGTGTGTGTTTTGATTTGAATTGAGGATCTCATAATTTAGCCACGCCTCAATCCTTTTTTAGTTTATTTTTCAGATAGGGACTTGTGTTTTATCCAGACTTGACTTGTACCATGTTCCTACTGCCTCTGCCTCCAAGGTTCCTGGGTTTACAGGAGTACACCACAATGCCCAGCCATTCTTAAACTAATGAACAACGAGAAGGGAAGAAAAACCAAAAAAAAAAAAAAAAGCCACAAAACATGAGCTGTATCATCATTCCTACCCTGTGGTCTTGTCTTGATCAAAGGTTGGGTGTCTGGCCATGCTAGGTGTACAATCTTCCTGAATGGAGTGATTCTAGACAGAAGTATGAGTAACGTCAATATTCAGTTTTAAGTAGGTGGTAAAGGTATGGCGTCAAAAGTAATGCAAAACATGCCTGGTGAGTTTTCTAAAACACCTCAAAGTCAAAGGAATTGTTAGGGGAATTGGGTGCATATTGGGACATGGCAGCCGCACATGGAGAGCAAACAGCATGAAGCAGTGCAATCAAGGTTAGATGAGCCACAGGAAAGCCTGGTGTGAAGGAGATCTTGCTAGGGCTCTAGGGAGAGTGCTGGTCTCTTGCACTTCCAAACCACTCAACCCTGTTCTCTTCTTAGGCTCCTTAAAAAACAGTTAAACCGACACAAAGACAAGTTGCAAGCAATATACAACTCTCATGAAGAAAAAAGTTGCAGATTTGAAACAATGATTCATGAGCTCAGAACCAAGCAGGACAGTCTATGGACTGCAATACAGCAGATGGAGCAGGACCTAAAGGTAAAAAATGTAGGAGATACTACCTAGACCACCTGGAAGTCTAACCTTGAGTCCTCCAGCCCAGGGAGGGCTATAGCCCAAAGCTTCACACCTCATCTTGACCACCTCTCTCCTTGCTCTCTCCCACTTTCATCCTCCAGACCATATGCTTCCCCAGCTGGACAATAGCACCATTGGAGGACCAGTACCATTTAGAAACAATAGACCTGGGCAAAGCAATTCTTTATAGCATTGGTTCTTAAACTTTTTCATTTCAGGATCCCTTGTACATTCCTAAAAATGTTGAAACCCCCAAGGAGCTTTTGTCTTGTGGGTTATATTTCCTGCTATTCACCATAATAAAAATTAAAACTGAGAAGTGGTTTTAAAGTATATTCATTAACTAATTGAAGCGAAAATAATAAACACTATATATGTCACATTTTTAAACAATATATATTTAATATTTATAAAATATTAAATTTTATATTTATTTATATATATATATTTATAAAAGCCTAGAAGAACCGAGCATGGTGGTACATGCCTGTTATCCCAGCACTTGGGAGATGAAGGCAGGAGGATATCGAGTTCAAAATCCACAGGGGGATCCTCTCTCAAAAACTCAGGGACTGGGGATGTACTCAGTGGTAGAGCACTGGTCTAGCATGCACAGGTTCTGGGTTTAATCCCTAGCACCACGGTGGCAGGAGTGGGGTGGGACCTCAAAGAATAGCAGTGTTTTACATTTTTTACAAATCTCTTTAATGTCTGGCTTAATGAAAGAGGTAAATTTTTTATAACTGCTTTAGCAATAAATCTGTTACAAGATTCTTTGGTCAAAGCACATGAAGAAATCTGGCTTCACATAGAATTGCGTAGAATTGCAGTCAAAAAGAGGTATTTTTATAGCTTTTCAAATAAGTGGAGGTACTTTTCATTGATACTATACCAAAACATAAGACAAAACAGTTTCTTAAAGGATAACTGCAATGTGAAATCTGAGACCCAATCTGTTTCATTAAAATCTGGGCTCAAGGACTGGCAGTGTGGCTCAAGTGGCAGAGCACCTGCCTATCAAGTGCAAAGCCTTCAGTTCAAATCCCAGTACCACCAAAAAAAATCTAGTGTCTAGTACACTCTTTCAATCTCCCCATGCTTAATTTTGTAACATTTATTGGTCATTTTGAAAAATACTGGCACACTGAGCTATGCTGAACTTTGTAGGGCTCACCTATTTCATTAGAGATCAAAAAAAATTCACATTCATTAGTGCCACTGCTAATTTTATCAGAAAGTTTTTAAGAATTGGAAAGCTACCAAGCTCGTGGTGATAGTTGCAAGTTTTCCAACTACTAATTTTTGCTTGAAAGCTTGACTGTCATAAATGATAAAAATACAGTAATTGTTTTCCTTGCAGTGACATTCTTGCTTTGTTCAGTCTTTTCAGAAAATATTTGCCAAATACCCAAGTTGGAATAGTCATGGTGTGACTGCCCGTCTTTCTCTGGCACAAAAGCCACCACTTGACTTGAAGTATGCATCTGAAGTGTCTTGTGCACACTTCCCATTTCATCCCACACAACATTTCAAAGGCCTGGATTGTTATTAAGCTGTCATTTTTTTAAACTGGCAGTATAGATGGTGAAAGTTTCCTGACTGGCAGTACCATGTTGATGCTGTCTGGATTCCTGTTGAGGCACCAACGGCTATACTTATTGTTGATTTTGTACCATCAGAGAACACACCAATTCAATGAACAAATAGCATCAACAAATCATTATGAAAATTATTTTATTTCGCAGGCCCCTGAAATGGTCTCAGGTGCCTGAGGACACTTTGAGAACAATGCCATATATGAACATCCCTAGAGTTTGTACATGTGACTTCATGTGAAAGCCCTCACCACATCCTTACTAGACAAATAATTATGACCATGTTTTATTGTAATAATTTTTACTTATCAATTCAACATATGCTTCTGTTTTCAGAAATCCCTTATGACATTTTTAGGACCTGGGCTTTTGAGAACCTAGAATTTTTTTCCAATTTGTTGTAATTATTCACTGTGATATTTTACTGCTCAGGGTATTCCAATTCTTATACAAAGTTTGAGGTTGATATTGAAGTAACAAAATAAAGAGAGGAAAAAGAAATATGTTACATTAGCATCTCCTGTTGGAATATTGAAATTTAATGCACTTGTTAAAAAGTAAAATAAGTATTTCTTCATAAATAAGATTTTCTTTGCCCAGACAATGTTGCAACTAGCCCATCCTTCATCTTCCTGTCAAAACGCAGTGTCCAAGATTGACTATTCTTCAGCAGATAGGTTTTGGAAGGGCGAAGATTCTTTCCAGATTAGGAAATGCCCTGAGAACGGTCCAGAACAGGAACCTCTTCCTCACCCTACTGTGGTTGACAGAAGTCAAGCAAATGCCGAGCACACTCTGCCAAATTCAGAACAACCAGAGAACATTTTGCAAGGCACTGGGGGGCAAAACCATTCACCAAAGATGGCGAATGAAATCCTTAGTCTCCTACCCAGTTACCAGGATGAAATGCTGCAGAACAACCCTCAAATTTCTCCTACTAAAATGAGCAGTCCTGATCATGCACCTGCGGATAGAAAAGAGATAGTTAACATCAAAGAGAGAAAGAATGAACAGGAGGAAGACGAACCACAAGAACTATTGTCAAAGCTCCTGGATGCCTTTAATCTAGAAACAACATCAGGTAAGATTTCATAGTCAAGAGAGATAGCAGTGACCAGGGAATAAGAGTGCCTTTTAAAACCTTTGATTTTCTAACATTAGCCCCATAGCTATGGTTTGTCTGGTGTGTAACAGAGTTCTGAACCTTTTGGACATTGGCAGCAGCTGTGAATTTGTTTTCTAGTATTGAGTAATTCATTGGATTTCTGTGAGAGTTAAAGGTGATAAACCATGCAAGACTTTAGTACAGCACCTGCCACATAGTAAGCATTAAATGAATATTTATTATATTCTTACTGTGATTATTAGTAGTAGTGACCTTAAATCATATATAACTGATCAGTTTGATGTAGCCATTTAAAGATGGGGGCAATAATGCTACTCTTTCTAAAGGAGAATTAAGGTTTCTATATTGTAAGTAGCACCATCATTATCATTTTCCTCATAAGCTATGACTTGCTGCTGAATTCTAAAGGCCTTTAAAAAGTCTTTTACTGAAATAATTTCTTCTGTTTTAGAGTGATATTGTCTTATTTTTCTCTAGAATATATATGCATATGTATTTGTTTTTGAGAAAGGCTAACAGCATTTATGTTGGAGACTGGTGATCTGTCTAGAGATTTATGATTAAATAAAGAATAACATTCTCATGTGTTTGTGCATCAGAGGAGGCCTTTTCAATATATCTATATTAGTTTTCTAGGGTAACCATAACAACGTATCATAGACTAGGTGGCTTAAATGAAAGAAAGAGAAAAAGAATGAGGGGGGAAGGAAGAAAGGAAGGAAGGTAGGAAGGAAGGAAGGAAGAAAAGAAAGAAGGAAGAAAGGAAGGAAGGAAAGAAGGAAGGAAGGAAGGAAGGAAGAAGAATCATTTTCTTACTGACCTGAAGGTTAGATGTCCAGGATCAGGGTGTCAGCAGCATTGGTTTCTTCTGAGGCCTCTCTCCTTAACTTATTGAATGCCACCTCTACCTCTCCCTAGACAGAATGTATATGTTTATATCCACATTCCCTCTTCTTATAGACACCAGTCATGTTAGAGTAGGGTCCATTCATCCTAATGGCCTCATTTTAATTGAATTGCCTCTTTAGAGACCATATCTCAAATACAGTCACATTTTGAGGTGACTTCAATATATAAATTTGGAGATGGGGGGACAACACAATTCAGCCTGTGAAAGTTGGAGAGCTATATACTGGTGATTCTAAATGATTCTAAAAAGCTGTATGGTAAGTGAAGTTGGAGTTATAATCTTAGTATTGGAGGAAAAGAATTCACAGAGAAGTCAGAAGCATGCTTAGGCTGCCTAAGACAAAGACAGAATGGGAGCTCCTTATGCCTGATTCTTAAGCCAACACAAAATTCCACACAGTATGGTTCCAGCTAAATATCCTTAGGGTCATGATAGTATTCCAAGCAAAGTCCACTTGACTTTTTTAGAAAAGAATTCACATAACATTTCACATAAAAGGTGAGCCAAATAGAAAATTTCTTTTAGTCTTTGACATCTTGTTTGGCTTTTTTGTTTTTGTTTCTCCAAATGAGCTAGTGAAAGTTGCCAGTTTCCAAAATGTTATATTCTAAAACCACAAATGTAGAGGTTACAATGTACATTTTTAGAATAGTTATGGACTGGGTCTACTATTCATATTTAGAAGACAACATCTCACACGTATCCAGTTTAATACCTGATGGAAAAAGATTAATGCATATTTTAAATGACTTTATCAAGATCTTTCAATAAAAATACATTTTCATGTACCTATTCGGGCATCATAAAAGAGTAAAGGATATTTGTAAATTCAGATGATGTGATGATGCGTAAGTATATGAGTATTATCCAATATTTTAGAAAATCTAGAAGTATGTCTCAAAAAATTCACCTGTTTCCATTTATAATTTCAATAGAACCATTGAGATGTTTCTATAAGAAGTATGTGTTATTGTACAAATATGTTTATGATTCAACAAATACTAATTTTCAAGATTTAAATTATTTTTTGTTATTAGTCTTATTTCTTTGAGGTCTTTATGCATAAAACATGAGGATCTGTTCATCTTCATGGTTATGCTTTTACATTATCTATCACTCCTTACTCAAATATATCTAGTTATGTTTGACCCTTATTCAGTCTTATATTGAATATGATCCTGTTTTAAACCCTACTTAGCCATTGGTAACATGGATTATAAAAATACACTCCATAATTTGTATATAATCTATATATACTCACCAAAATTACATCAAAGTTAATCCAAAAGTGTGATAAGCACATTGATGAAGATATAGAAAGTGAAGCAAGCTAAGTTAAGGTATTGTTTACCATTTTTTGCTTCTATCTCTATGATGGAAGCACCAGACAACAGCAGGTAGTGTCAGATCACCTTATTGACCAGGGTTTTTTTTAAAAAATTTTTGGGAAAAATGGAAATATCTATTTGTAATATACTAAGATTTACTCAGAATGTGAGTACAGTCACCAAGTGCAGCAATAAACCTGATAGTTGACTGCCCTTTTAGATTACAATTTTACTAAGAAGCAACCATACTGTGAAAACGAAGATGAATTTTACATTTCTTAAAGGCTTAATGGGACTAAAACAGCAAACATGGTGGCTGTTCTTTGGCAGTTGTTGACACTAACTGAAGAGAGTTATTTAGTATCATTATCGAAGATAGTGTGATTTCAAGAGACTATGAGTGCTTCATGGAAGAGAGAATGTTGTGTATAAAGAGGACCCCAAACATCTTTACAGCCTGAGTGTTGAAAATCAATAGCAAACAATTTGGTTTAAACTTGCAGTAAAGAAATGAGATTTGAAAAAGTATTTAATATTCTTTGCTTTCATGGTAAAAGGACATAATCATGTAGTTTAACTGTCCTATAAAATTATTTTCTTCTAATTTGAGAGTGAAATGTCCTATCTACATCTCTGAAATTCTTCTCTCATCTTCTCTCCTATCCCTCTTGCCATCCATTTTCCTCTGTATGTTTCAGTGGTAAGAAGGGAAAACAGGTGGTTCGGTGGTTGGATTAGGAGGGTCTGGTTTAAAATCAAAGATGGTGAGTTGGACTAGCAAGAAAGCACTTGCCATAGTTCCTTCTCCAAGTTCAGTACAAAGCGTGCAGGTAAATAAAACCCAAATCCCAGCTTTTTGGACAGAAGGGAAATAGTTTTATCATACATTCAACATTCTAGCCATTCTGGGGGCTATTCAAGACTGCCTTTTGTATCATATGTCTTTGAGTATTGATGGGACAATATTCATGAACAAAGTTAATTTCAACAAGGAGAAACAATTTAGAAGAAACAAATAGAAACCTTAAGGCTGAAAAAAATATGACAACTGAAGTGAAAATTTCAACAGAAGTATTCAATGGCAAACAGCATTGTTCTCCTGAGCTCACTGAATATCTTCATGGTAGTTATTTTGAATTCCCTGTCAAAATTCATATATCTTTGTTCCATAAGGGTCTGTTTCTGGAACTGTCTTATTCCTGTATTTGCACCGTGTTTCCCTCCTCTTTCTTTACTCTTTGTGCTGATATCTTCACAGTAGAACATTCAAACAAACTAGAATCAAACAAAAGAATCACAAGCTCAAAGAGACAGCATTGAAATCATCCAATCAGAGAAAGAAAAGGAAAAAGAGTGAAGAAAATTTAAGGGATATATGAGATATCATCAACTCTACCAATATATGCATTATGGAAATTCTGGATGCAGAAGAGAAAGAAAGATCATCAGAAAGCTCACTCAAAGAAATAACTACCCAAAACTTATCGAATCTGGGGAAGAAAATGAAGATCCAAATTAAGGAAGCTCAATAGACCCCAAACTGGGTAAACTCAAAGAAAACCATACCAAGACACATTATAATCATGTTGTCAGTAGTCAAACAAAAAAAAAGAGACTTTTTAAAGTGGTAAAGGAAAAGTGACTTGCCATGTACAAATAACTCTCATAAAATTATAAAAAGTTTTCTCAGCAGAAATTTTAAAAGCCAGAATGAAATGGGAAGATATACTTAAAGTGCTGAAAGAAAAAACTGCCAACCAAAAATATTTTATCCAAAAAGTCATTGGAGAAATTAACTATGTTGAAGACAAATACAGAATACCATAATATTGAAACAGTGTGTAATTTACTTTTTATAAAAAGTAAAAGACAAAAATATTAAAAATGACTATTACTATGAAAATGTGATAATGAACAATATTAAAAGATACATTTTATGTCAATAACATAAAATGTCTTACAAGGTTTAATAGTGAATAGTTTTTGTATGCAATTGAAGTTGTTATCAGCTAAAAAAGACAAGTACAACTACAAGATACTTAGTGTAAACCAAAAAATATCTGTAAAAGATAAGCAAAGAAAACAATCAAATCATAGCAATGAAGAAAACAATGAACAGAAAGGAAAACAGTAACAGAGGAAAAGAGAGACAAAAGAAGTATAAGATAGAAAGCAACTAGCAAATAGGATTCCTTCCTCCCAAAATTAAGTTAAGTGTAACTGGATTAAAGTTCCCAAACAAAGGATTTAGAGGTGCTGAATGGATTAAAACAAAAAAAAAAACAGGCTCAGACTATATTATATCTATAAATCATTATCTGTAAATTAGATTTAAGGACACACAGGCTGAAAGTAAAGTGGTAGGAAAAGGTATTCCATGTCAATGGTACCTTAAAAAGTCAAGCATGCCTACAATTATTATGAATTAGTTTAGGTCAAAACCTGGCACAAGAGACCCAAAAAAAAGACATTACATAATGATAAAAGAATCAATTCACTGGGAAGATATAACAAGTCTAGCAATATATGTACCCAATATTAGAACAACTAGTATCTAAAGCAGTCATTGACAGAAATGAAAGGATAAAAAGACAGCAACACAGTAATAGTAGGGAACTTCAATACTCCATTTTCAGTAATAGCTAGAATATCCAGACAGAGAACTAGTAAGGAAATAGTGGACTTGACAGCACTAGCAAACCAAATGGACCAATTTCATTTTGAAATGGGGTAGATTTTTATTTATTTATTTATTTATTTATTTCAGTACTGGGGCTTGAAACTCAGGGCCTCAGGCTTGCTACACAGGTGATTTCTCACTTGAGGCACTCCACCAGCCCAGCTTTTCTATTTCTTTATCATTGTAGTTTAAAGTTTTTATTATTGTAGTTTGAAAAGCAACATCTTAAAATAAATTTGTCCCTGGATAAGATGTCTTAGTCAGGCAATGAAATATGGTTTATTCAAGGGCCTTGTAGCTCTGGAGCAGTGTTAGAGGAGTTAAAAATGACATGAGCTCCTCTTACACTCAACAGAAAACAGTGCAGTTGGAGCCAAGATATACATCATAGAGCTAAAAAGCATCTACCTAACACAATAAGCCTTTCCATGTTTTAATTTCCTGTGATCTCACTTTTGTCAATTGCACAAATAACAAAATACTACATGTTTATCATAAATAAGTGCTGAAGGAGGATCCAAAATGGCAACTGGGACAGACACAGACTGCATGAGCTACCTGAATCAGGGACCTTGCTGAGATGCTGGAGACACACTTGGCTGAGGTAAAGCACCTGGGAGAGCTGAAACTTCAGCACCCTGAACCCCTAGCCCATGGAAGTCTTCTCCATACCAAAATACACTGAAAGAACAGAAGGGCCGCCACACCCACGCCACCACCACACCCACACCACTGCCACCTGCCCACCTGCCCATCTACCTGCCAGCCCACTGCCAGCCAGCACACCAGCTACCACCTGCCTGCCCACCAACCCACTGGCTGCCAGCTCCAAACGTGCTTGGGAGACCTTCAGCAGATCAAACAGAATACTTTCCTGCTGGAGCCACACTTGGCAAAAAAAGAAGAAGAAACAAAACTCCAAAACCCTGAACTCCCAGCCCATAAAAAGCTTCTCCACACCACGTTACATGGAGAAAACAGGAGGGCTCAAGCACCACCAGATGCTGGCTCCAACCTGCCTAGGACACACAGACAAACAGGACTGAGTGCTAAAAGAGTGACACCAGAATTACTAAGACTGAAATTCTACTGTTCCTGAACCAGGAATTTATTTATATATATATATTTTTTCTCTTTTCTTTAAGTGTTCGTCTTGTTCACTGTTTAATTGTCTACCATCTCTCCCTGTTGATTTCTTTGGTTCTCCATTTTTCTTTCTTTTTCTTTTTCTTTTTTCTCTCTCTTTCTTGGTTTTGTTAGTTTTACTATTGTAAGTTAGCTAATACTAAATTACACATAGACCAGGGACAGAAAGAGTACCAAGTGAAATGATGGGAAGACAAAAAAGGGATGGAAACCATTCTCCCCTCTCCAAAAAAAAAATTAGTACAGAATTCAGAGGGAAATGAAGAAAATGGATACCCAGATCCAGACTCCAACAAAACAAAGATAAACTATACCAAGGAATCCAACAAAGCCCACAAGAACACCCTGAAAGAAGAAAATCCTGCAAGTAATCAATGAGAACTTCACAGAGCTGTTACTAGACATGGTCAACCAAAACGTACAGGAGGCACTCAAGAAATTCCAGGACAACAAAAATAAAGAATATGAGAAAACACAAAAACAAATAAATGAACTCATAAGAGACCTAAATAAACACCAAAGTGAAACAGAGAACACCATAAATAGAGAGATAAATGAATTAAGGATGAAAATTGACAATATTAAAGAGGGAAGTGACCCATGATATGGAAAACCTCAAAGAATGAAACAGAAATACAAAACAAAATGGAAGGGCACTCCAGCAGACTAGAACAAGCAGAAGACAGAATCTCAGAACTTAAAGATGAAATAGAAATTAAAGGAAAAACTGAAGAACTATTAGTCACACTACTCAAGTCCTGTGAAAGGAATATGCAAGAACTCACTGACTCCATCAAAAGACCAAACCTGAGAATCATAGGCATTGAAGAAGGAGAAGAGGTGCAAGCAAAAGGAATTCATAATATATTCAACAAAATCATAACAGAAAATTTCCCAAATCTAGAGAAAACTATGCCCATTCAGGTACAGGAAGCCTCCAGGACACCAAACAGACTTGACCAATATAGAACTACCCCCATGACATATTATCATTAAAAGAACAAACACAGAGAATAGAGAAAGAGTATTGGAGGCTCTAAGAGAGAAAAAACAAATAACATATAAAGGTAAACCCATCAAAATCACAGCAGATTTCTCAATGGAAACATTAAAAGCAAGAAGAGCATGGAGTGAGGTATTCTGGGCACTGAATGAAAATAACTTCAACCCTACAATACTCTACCCAGCAAAACTATTATTCAAAATAGATGGGGCAATAAAAATCTTCCCTGATAAGCAGAAACTAAAACAATATATGACCACCAAACCACCACTACAAAAGATTCTTCAAGGAATTCTGCACAGAGAAAGTGAAAGCAAACATAACCATGAAAGAGCAGGCAGTACCAAACCACAGGGGAAGAAAAGGCAAGAAATTAGAGAGTAACATTGATTCAGCTGCACACAACCAAACCCTTGAACAACAAAGACAACTAAGTGACAAGAATCACCACATACCTATCAATACTAACACTGAATATTAACAGACTTAATTTCCCCATCAAAAGACACCATTTGGCAAACTGGATTAAAAAGGAAGATCCAACAATCTGCTGCCTACAGGAGACTCATCTCATCAACAGAAACAAGCACTGACTGAGAGTGAAAGGCTGGAAGAAGATTTACCAAGACAATGGCCCCT